TTATTATAACTATGAAACATCTCGCAATAAAAATGAAATATATAAATTAAATTACCAAGAAATCTAATTTATTTAAAAAGTGGTGTGTGTATAAATTTTAGTAAAATTTTTATTCGCCCACTCCTATAATCGTAGACTATGAAAACGGTTCTGCTGACAGTCGGATCTAACGAACAATAATTTCTGCGCAGTAACGGACTGTTGGCTTAATAACGTTACCCAAACTTATTTGACCTTTTTTGACGCTTCAAACATGGCAAAATGAATCCATCAAAATGAAGTTATGGAAATATGAAAACCAAAAAAATTTTGAATGGCCATTAATTGAGGTTGATCTAAATAGTTGGCACTCTATAGATAGCAAAATAAGGTATTTTGAACATATCATTCACAAAGCTTTGAACAAGCGAGAGTTCTGTGCAAAGTGGGTGCAGCGCAAACTCTTATATAACCGATTCACATCGTTAAAAAACAATAAACTCGAAGGAAAAACTTTTGTGTATTATTTCCACATCCACTGTACTTCGCGTATCGAGTACTCAGCGACTTTGAGCTGTTCTCAGTATTCAAGGGAATGTAGCCAAAGAAAAATCGCTGAGAAGAGACCTATTTTAAGGCAAAATATACTACAATGGTGTCGAAAAGTCGAAAAATCGCTATAATCGGCGTAATGTCATGCTGATAGCTATTTTGAATAAAAAATCCATTTTAATATGATATGAATTTCTAGCCTGTCTACTGAAATCACTCATTGTCATCACAAAACCACGTCGCATGATCTATGAATTTCCTGGATATTATAGTATCTTAAACAAGCGCTATTAACGTAAATTTAAGTTTTAGTAAGATATAGATTTGGTTTGTTATACATGTATGTACATACAGCATACGAAGTGTTCTAATTTTCACGACCTCATTTGCGTCTAGATTTACTTAATAATATTTACATAAATTTTAAACTTTCAACACACAAAACTATCAAAATAATACACCTAAAATTTAATATACTATATAATATACTCGATAGTACAGCAAGCTACCACATTTGATACATTAATAACAAAATAATTGTGTGTTTATCTACTTGCAGATAAGAATGGCTCATAAAATGCTGATATACTAAATACTATTGCGAGGTATTGTATATGCTGAGCACAATGAAAGTGACATATCAGCATTGTGTGGTAAATAGGATTTGTTTGTTTGACATTTATGTTGTATTCACAATTAATGCTTAAGCTGTAGTGGCATAATTTGACAGCTACTTGGTTGTACACATTTCCGTAGAAACAACGTATGTACGCATGTATGTATGTATGTATGTATTTTGGAGCCTGCTACATTGTATAATCAGTAGGAATGACTTATTTGTGTTCGAAGAACTTCAAGTTAGGAATTAGACTACCATTTTTTTGTTAATTTAAGTCAATAATGCAAATATTTGCTTACACGATAAAATAGTTTCGTGGAATTTCGTTAGCGTTCGATTTAAAAACGCTAAACAAAACTAAACAAAAAAAAAAAAAACATTTTATGGCGGCCAATTAAAGTGCACACGCTAAAGATTTGCAAAAGCTCCCTACAAATTTGTGACACCGAAATATGTCGATATGTTTTTTTTTACGTGTTGGCACTGTTTGACTTGTTTGCGGTGTTAATTTTATTGCTACACGCCTCGCGCATGCGTTACTACCGCATTTGCAAATGACAAGCAGTTAAAAAAGCAGATGTTTATATGGCTGCCGTATAGGCACTCGATCGTGCAACACTTTTAACAAGTCAAACATATACGTCCATGTATTATATATATGTATGTATGTACATATACATATGTATGTGTGGAGCAACTTTTATTTGCCCAACAACACTGGCAAATAATCGAACAACCGTACAAGCAATCAACGAGCCAAACAGCAAACATAATGTAAACAATGTATGTAGATAGCACACATAAGGTTTTATGTACATACATACATATATGAGCCAATGTTGAAAAGATGTTGTGTTGGAAAAAAGCTTTGCGTTATTGTAGCTTATGAGTTATTTGTAATTATACTTGATATCAGATACCATAAGCAAATATTTGCTTTTGGCCGATACTACTCGTGTAGTTTATGCTTCGGGAAGAATATATACAAAAAAGAAATAAAGTACAACATGCTTGTTTACCTAAATCGCACAATAAAACGGGGGAAAATGTGAATGCGGCTGCGTGTTGGAAGTCAAGCGACAACACTCATGAAACATGAAGTGAAGCACGGCGAAATGGGTGAGCAGCAACCAAGTGGTTTTATTTTCAATATGCGAGCGCATGTATTTGGGTTTTATGTGCATTTAACATACATACATACATACAGACACACACACATACTTTGTATTCTTGCACGCGCAAAAACTGTAAGGCCAATGAAATAAAGATGAATTCGTCGAATGGATAAACACACCTTGAATATGTTTTACACACCCAACGCTGCTCCTAGTTGACTCCGAATGTTTACTTTGAGGTACGTTGTATGTGTGTGCATGTGCGTTCATAAAACGGGTTTGTTTGTAAAACGAAAATAAAACAGCTGCCGGCATTTTGCCAAAGTGCTCAAAATTTTTTTTTTTGGAGGAAAAAGCCTTTTTTGCAAACAAAAATTTAAAGATAAATAGTTAAAATTAATAACTAAATTTTTTAAAAAA